GCTTTCTCTGATAACATCTCTCCACTTTCAATACTTATTTTTCATCCTATTCTGAATATTTTGTTTCCTTCAAGATTCCCCCTTCATCTTTGATATTCCTGTCCAGGACATAGACACCTCTACAGATCCATTTTTAAACATTATGGAAAGCACCTCCAATAGCTATTTCCTTTTGTTCTGAGAAAAAAACAAAAACAAACAAACAAACAAAAAAAACAACCCAGCTGGGAGCTATTCTGTAGCCTTTATTTTCACTTTCCTTGTTTCTTATATATATATATATTTTTTTTCCTTATTGATTTCAGAGAAGAAGGGAGAAGGAAAGATAGAAACATCAATGATGGGAGAATCATTGATCAGCTGCCTCCTGCACACCCTCTATTGGGGAATAAGCCCACAAACCAGGCACGTGCCCTGACTGAGAATCGAACCGTGACCTTCTCCTGGTTCTTATGTTGGCGTTCAGCCACTGAGCCACACCAGCAAGGCAAAGCAACACTCTTAATGAACGTGACCCAAATTACTTAGTTTCTATCATTTGTGTTACTTCCACTGATAATAAATTCAAGGTTTGGGCCCTTGTTTTGTACAGTTTAAGAAAAAGATGAAAGATGTCCTTAAACTTAGCAATAGGAAGTACTGTAACCATTTTTATAATCAGAGTTAAAATTGGCATTACTAAGTATTTGAGTTTTGTTAAATATTGTCTAGTTTGTCGACACTGAAGTCAATCTAGTATAAATTTGATATACCACGGGGAAAATACTGTATAGAGAAATAATATTTTTATTTCTCATTCCTTACATACCTCCTTTCCATTGATACTACATATGGATTCTGGAGTGCTTGTTCAAATTTGGTGTACCTTTATAGAGTTCTGATTTAGGTTTTTGTCATTGGTGTTCTTTTAGTCTCAGCTTTACTTATGTCATGCTCACATAGAAATTCAAAAAGGGAAACTACCTTTACTGTAGTTTGGGGGCCAGGGGTGGGTAATGAATGAATTATATAAAGAAAATAGGTATTCAGATTATTTAAGCAATACCCGAGTTCTTACTGTTTACTGGAAACTATAGCAAGAATTAAAAGTATATATAAGACATAGTCCTTGCCCTTGAAAGTATTGATAATGATAAAAAAGCCTTCAAAGATTATAAACATGCATTTTCATTAGTAGATTCAATGTCTTCCCTTTCAAGCCTTTCACAAAGCTACTAACAAAATCACTGTAATTATCTAAGGAAGTGAAATTTCATCTTTATTTTAAAAAAAATAGCATTGATGCCGAAACCGGTTTGGCTCAGTGGATAGAGCGTCGGCTTGCAGACTGAAGGGTCCCAGGTTCGATTCCAGTCAAGGGCATGTACCTGGGTTGCGGGCACATACCCCGTAGGAGATGTGCAGGAGACAGCTGATCGATGTTTCTCTCTCATCGATGTTTCTAACTATCTCTCTCCCTTCCTCTCTGTAAAAAATCAATAAAATATATTTTTAAAAAAATAGCATTGAGATAAATCTTACCTTGTTCCATTGAGCTCTATACTGTGTTTTAGGTTTGGCTGCCTGCAGTAAAGGCCAAAGGCTTGGAGATTTCTGGAACATTTACTCATCGTCAGGGGCACATCTATATGGAAATGAACTTCACCAACAAAGCTCTGCAGCATATGACAGACTTTGCAATCCAGTTTAACAAGAATAGGTAAGAAAGAAGAGTCCCCAGCTAGATTCATGTGTACCTCGTGTCCAACAAGAGAATGTTCCATTAACGATGGGGGGAAATTCTCATGTTGGCAAATGCTAGATGTAGAGGGAATGCTGGCTGTTGTGCATCTATTGGTTGTCAGCTTCAGCTCTGAAGGCCCTAGGGAATTTTGCTGGGAAACTCATCCCTGTAGAACAAGGATACCAGACCTTAATGCCTTTTTAAGGATTCTAGGACTAGAATGTTTTTACCAAAACAGTTTATTTTAAAAAATATTTTTAATTTAAATCCTTTACTCATTCAACAAATAATTGTTTAGTATCTGTGTGCCAGACATTTCAAGGTACTGAGATTAGAGTAGTAAACCAAACCAATGTGTGTCCAAAGCTCACATTTCAGTGGGGATAAATGGACTTTGGTTGATGTAAAAAAATATAGAACAGTCAGTGTACCTGGTTAGTTGAATAATTAATTAAATATAAGCTGACAGTCTGCTTTTAGCATGAATTCTCTGCTTTAATAAGGAGAACATGAAGACATAAAATGTTGATGTCCTACAGTTCTGAGACATCACGGATTTTTATTCATTGTGACTCAGAAAACTGGCTGTTAGACTTTGATGGCAGGTCTGTTTATTCATAAATACAAGATATTCAAACTTGTTTCTAGCAAAGTAGTAATTGGACCCCTAAAATAAATTTAATTTGTCAGTAACAACGTACTGACATAAGAAACTTTTGGAGTCAGAGCACTAGCAAAATAATTCTGTCCTTATGACTGTTTATCCTTACTCAAAATCATTTAATAGAAAACAGAAGTTATATTGTAACCAGTGTTATAGTAAATTAGACTTGACCATCTTGGGTCTTACTATGCCTTCATTTAATATTGTAAAAAATTATGTTCCTTCAAATGGAGTAAAAAGCCATTGAAACCCAATGATGCAGCTAAATCCTGCCTCCTGAGTAACTTCTAGAATTTCTTCATCCTCTCTCCTAGCTTTGGCGTCATCCCCAGCACTCCCCTGGCCATCCATACACCACTGATGCCAAATCAGAGCATTGATGTCTCCCTGCCTCTCAACACCTTGGGTCCAGTCATGAAGATGGAACCTCTGAATAACCTACAGGTCCGAGTTTTACTTCACTCAGGGTACAAGTTGATACCTTGCCAATTTTATTTTATTATGTGTGTATGTATATAATTTATATTAGATTTGGTCATGGAATCAGATTTGTAATAACTCTGTGATGAAGAGTTTTATTTATTTTTTAAAAGTCATGCATTGACATGGAAAATTATTATTTTACTCAAACATTTAGAAACTTTTGAAGATCGTTTTTACAAACCTTTTGTTTTTAAAACTTACATAGCAAATTTGAGTGTCATTTACACAAAAACTAGAGGCCTGGTGCATGAAATTCCTGCATGGATAGGGTTCCTAGGCCTGGCCAGCGATCAGAGCTGATTGGGGCCATCTCGCCCAGTCCCGATTCGGGCCAGGCCAATTGGGGCCTGCTGGCCAGGGGGCAGGGACCGCGGGAGGTTGGCCAAGAGGAGGGATGGGGGAAGTTGGCTGGCCACGGGGAAGGACCCGGGGAGGTTGGCCGGCTGCGGGAGGTTGGCTGTGGGAGTGCACTGACGGCCAGAGGACAGCTCCTGCATTGAGCATCTGTGCCCTGGTGGTCAGTGCGCCTCATAGCGACTGGTCGGTCGTTCATTCATAATAGTCGCTTAGGCGGGAGGTTGGCCAAGAGGAGGGATGGGGGAAGTTGGCTGGCCACGGGGAAGGACCCGGGGAGGTTGGCCGGCTGCGGGAGGTTGGCTGTGGGAGTGCACTGACGGCCAGAGGACAGCTCCTGCATTGAGCATCTGTGCCCTGGTGGTCAGTGCGCCTCATAGCGACTGGTCGGTCGTTCATTCATAATAGTCGCTTAGGCTTTTGTTTATACACACACACACACACACACACACACACACACACACACACAAACAGATTTCGCCCTAGCTAGTTTGGCTCAGTGGATAGAGCATCAGCCTGCGGACTCAAAGGTCCTGTGTTTGATACCTATCAAGGGCACATGCCCGGGTTGCAGGCTTGCTCTCCAGTAGGGGGAGTGCCAGAGGCAGCCAATCAATGATTCTCATCATTGATGTTGCTATCTCTCTCTCCCTTCCTCTCTGAAATCAATAAATGTATTTTTAAAAAATATTTCAGTAGAGAATCGTGTGGAGGTTATTGTTAAACACACAACCATGTATAGTTAGTTATCTGGATTTAAATATCTGTTGTTAACGTATCTATGGTAAGTGTAGTAGAATCTTAGAGGAGTTCAGAACTTTATCAGGTCTATAAGAGCCTCTTAATTTTGAAAACATTGTAGTTTTTAGAATGTTTAAGTCCTTATTTAGAGTTTTATTCCGTTTTCATCTACTTTGAATTTCTTTTTGAAATATAAGCTTTCTGGGGCTCAAACAATGTGAAGGCAGAGTAGTAAGCTTATGAGCTGAAACTGTAGCAGCCCTGAATGGGTATTAATAGAGATAATAGAAGTTGGGGTTGTTTTCTGTTGTTATTATTGTGTTGTGATAGCACAACTTATTTCAAATGGACAAAACATTAGTGTCATTTACTGTATCTTAAGATAAATTGCCTTTGAATGGGAGCTTCCTTTCCAGTACTTTGAGATGTACAAGATGTATCTAGAAAATTTACTACTATGGAAACTGAAGACTTTAAATTGAATGGGTGGGGGAAGGACATCTGGTTTTTCTTTTCTTTTTTTTTAAAATATATATTTTATTGATTTTTTACAGAGAGGAAGGGATAGGGATAGAGAGTTAGAAACATCGATGAGAGAGAAACATTAGCTGCCTCTTGCACATCCCCTACTGGGGATGTGCCTGCAACCAAGGTACATGCCCTTGACTGGAATCAAACCTGGGACCCTTGAGTCCACAGGCTGATGCTCTATCCACTGAGCCAAACCAGTTAGGGCTGGTTTTTCTTTTTGATTAATTGCTATAACACTTCCCTTCAGGTGGCTGAGGGAATATCATATTTTTTTAGACATCATTAGACACCAAAGCTACTACAGGGCAACTTTTATGCTGTCTGAACTCTGCCATTTTGCTAGCGATCAAATAGCTCTTGAGTCCACTACCCATTAGAACTATTAACTCCATCCATGTTAATTTTTGTTACAAACTTAACAAAGGGAGGGGGTGCTTCTTGATATTTAGGTCCATATCCTATTTTAAGGCTAAATATTTGGTTTTTATAAATTATATGAGCTGCCCTAGCCAGTTTTTCTCAGTGGTTAGAGAGTCAGCCCATAGACTGAAGGGTTGCAGGCTCAATCCCGGCTCCAGTTGGGGTGTGTGTGTGAGGCATCTAATTGATGTGTTCCTCTCACATGGATGTTTCTGTCTGTCTCTCCCCTTCCCTTTCAGTCTCTCTGAAAAAAAATCAATGAAAAATGTCCTCGCGTGAGGATTAACAAAAAAAAATTTGTCTCAGCCCATGGTGGCTCTCATCTTGCGTCACTATCATTCAAAGGCCAGCCTAAAAAGATGCCCTGTGAAGGATAATCTGAAGACACAGCAGAGGATTGGTATTCCCATCCTACCAAGAACTTGAAATGATAGAATAGTCTGAGATTATAAAATATGTTGGGGTTTTTTGTGGGGTTTTTTAAAATATATTTCATTTTTTACAGAGAGGAAGGGAGAGGGATAGAGAGTTAGAAACATTGATGAGAGAGAAACATCGCTCAGCTGCCTCCTGCACACCTACTGGGGATGTGCCCACAACCAAGGTACATGCCCTTGACCGGAATCGAGCCTGGGACCTCTTGGTCCGCAGGCTGACGCTCTATCCACTGAGCCAAACCGGTTAGGGCTATAAAATATGTTTAAAATTACTAAAGAAAAATACCAATCTTCCACTTTCCAGTCAAGACAGGTAGGATTCCATTGCTTACTCTTCTGGAAATACCAATGTGAGATACTAGTACTGGTGGTGAGACATCAACAGTAAAATTACTTGAAGTTAAAACTAATGTTTCTCAGTAGTTTAAATAGCGACAAAAAAAGCTTGTTTGCCAGTTCATTAACTACCTTGTTGCTGCAATCGTTGACTGCCTCTTCAGCAAAGGGTATAATGATTTAGAATGAAGTTGGGTGAGTCACAATATAAGGTTGCTCACACTAGAAGAATAAAACAAGGATTACTGTACAGATGGAATTGGCTATTACTATGATGAAAGTAAAGTGTTAAGGGGCTTTTCCAACACAGAATCCCAAAGTAAGTAACTAACCCAAATCTACATCTGCTTTCTATTTATTGAGATCTAACCTCCTGTTGGCCCAGAGAGCCTCTAGCCTAATATTTGAGGACAGTCAGCATGAGTGCAAAATGCTTTACTTTAGAAATAAGAAATGGAATCTGGGTCACAGAAACCAGGGCAAATTTTCTACTCTTAAAAAAGAAACAGTAAATAAATGAATGTCAGTTTCTTTTCCTATTTGCATTTTCATTTAAGATTCAGTGAAATGAACTTCCCAAGTAGCAACCTTCATAATAGACTTTGAATCTTGGTCCAAAACCCCTCCCTCAAAAGTTTTCATTTTTACAAACCTGTCTTTATAACAAGCAAACTTAAACATGTTCAATCTAAGTGGAATGTAATAAAACATCTCAGCTTCTCTAAGAAATATAATTCCATCTGTAGTCACCTGCTGATCATCTTTTTCTCATGGATTCTCCTCTTTCAGGGAATGTCATAATTATGGCTATTTTCTCTTTAATTGGGATTTCCCAGTGGAGAAAATAACCAAAAAACTTGAAAAAAGAGAAACTTTTCCCCACTATTAGCAGCTCTATTTAATGTCTGCTGATGGAAGTTGCAACTAGTGGTTAGCTTAAGGTAGGTGGGTAACTTTAGATTTCACTTCCATTCTCCCCTTATTCCAGTATGAACAAAAAGAATCAAAACCAGCCGAAACCGGTTTGGCTCAGTGGATAGAGCATCGGCCTGCGGACTGAAAGGTCCCAGGTTCGATTCCAGTCAAGGGCATGTACCTTGGTTGCGGGCACATCCCCATTAGGAGATGTGCAGGAGGCAGCTGATCGATGTTTCTCTCTCGTCAATGTTCCTAACTCTCTATCTCTCTCCCTTCCTCTCTGTAACAAATCAATAACATATATTAAAAAAATAAATAAATAAAAAATTAAATTAAATTAAAAAAATAATCAAATCCTAGTCCCAGATAAAGCCAAATCAAGATTGATTGGCATTTAAACATTATATTTGCATAATGTTTAAATTGAAGAGCTCGTGTGGAAAAGTTAGTACTTTTTTAGTACTACAGACTATAAAATCATGGAGAAAGAGGAGGGATATCTGGAGGTTGAGGAAATGATATTTTGAATGCGGTGTGTGATTTAGCTATTTTGCCTAATTTGATATCTGTATATAGGACAAGTAAATCAAACCCAGCTTCCAGAACTTTAATGTGACACTTAGTAAAAACACTTTTCTTTAAAATGTTCATCAGACTACTTGTTGGCTTATAATCTCTTTGAAACACTATTGAAAGGTTAAAAAGACACTGTTTCCTCTTAAAATGTAAAATAGATTATACTTAGAGACACAAATACTTAATAGAGATTGGAATCTATGAAGTTTTTTCTATTGTACTGATGTTGGTTGTTTAAAAAAAAAAAAAGCCTTGTGAATCCAAGTTATAATTATTACACAAAAAGTCTGAAGCCTGAGCCAGAACAGGCCATTCATATGGAAAAGCCACTGCAAACAGCTTGAATGGGGCTGCAAATTGGGTGGGGCAGGGTCTCAGATAGTCACTAGGGCAGGGCAAATAGTGTAAGTTAGGTTGATGGAGACTCAGATATGGTCACTGCCTGTCAGCACTGTGGCAGGGAGGTCTCAGCAAAGGAATAGTGGCCACTGCCAGCACTTTTTTCTGGGAGAAAGCTGCCCCCCAGCTCTTGCCCTGATGCCACACAATTTAGATCCTCTCCATAGGTCCCTAGATCCTTTCAAGCTGTTGCTCCAGCACTGGAGTTCAGAGAAAGTGAGTCCAAGTAAGTCTGTGCACCAGCCCTTT